TGAAAAGCCTCCTTTAAGTTTTTTATTCAGAAGTAATAAGGAGTCAGTCTTTGAACAACCTGGGTACCAAGGGCTGGGAGAGTATTTTAGACTTGCTTGTCTGTTTAAAACTCTCTTTTCTCTTCTTTGCCTCCTTGGAGCTACAGCTGTTCCCATCCCACCACTCCCACTGTCCTTTCTGTCACTGTCATGCAAACCAGTCGATGGTTATTAATTGTGGAAGTCCGGACGTTTGTGGGGATTCCCCCCACCCCCACCCCCTGACGATTCATTTTGTATTAAAGCCCGACACACACTTAGAATCAGATTTCTTTTTGTGGAACGATCACTGTACGACTCAAAGCCATGCCCATGCTGCCAGTGTTTTTTTTTAGGCTGGAAATGAGTTGGAAACCTGCCTGACTCTCTTGCATCCCTTTGAATGAGTTTACAGACTGCCAGTGTCTGCAAAAGTTGAAGGCAAATGGGAGATGATGTCAGAGGCATCTGTTTCCTTTACCATCTGCATCTTATTATAAATGTAGTCGTCATGAGATGTGGTTCATTTTATTTTGGTAGGCCCCGAAATCAAGACGCCATGCCATTATAAGCCCGTGGAGTGATTACAACGCGTTGGATGAAAACCATTAGGCAGCGCCCAGCCCTGATGAAAGAAAATCTCTGTGCAGATTGCTGTCTTCCTGACATTTCAGACTGTGGTTCCCCCAAGCTCTCGAGCACTCGGGGGTCTGTCATTCTGACCTAGATAAAAGCGGTTCCTTCTCAGTCGTTTGTTATTATGTCAGAATGTGCCTCCAGAGTGATGAGGCTGTGGATATGTTACAGCCCGGCCAACCCTAAGTGCTGTCAGTTTTCTTCCATTAGAGTGTGAACACAGACCGTTCCTCCCCCCTCCCCATGTACTTCCTTCCCATCGCTCGCTGCTTTCTCGCTCCAATGTCAAAGTGAACGAAAATCATATTAATATAAGTGGAGAGGGCAGCCAAAGACCTGAGTCTGCACAGGTATTCTCCAGGGAGGTTACTCTTCCTATCTCAGGACCAGCAACAAGCACGTAACACTGCCCCTCGGGTGACAGCACTCGTTCCGTCCTTGGTCGTAGCCTATGTGTCTCCTGTCGGTTCCCGGGACGTGTGATGTCAGATCAGATCCAGGGAAAAGGCTTTGGGTGGCCAGTAATAGCAGGTCTGATCAGGGTAAGAATTACAAATGTATGCAGGTCACAGAAGAAAGCAGAAGCTGTACCACTGCCTCTGAACTTGGTGGAAACACCCCCATGGGCAGCAGGGGGAACCAGGTTGAAGAACCAGGTTGAAGAACCAGGTTGAAGATGTGGGGGGAATCGGGAGAGATGGGGAAAATGAAAAAGACTGGTTCTGTGAGTGGATATGGGAACGTGTTCTTGATAGCTGAAGAAAGGGACATATTTTATTTTGTTTTTTTCCCCAGTGTTTGTTTATATTTCAGAGAGACAGAGTGCGAGTGGGGGAGGGGCAGAGAGAAGAAGGAGACAGAATCCGAAGCAGGCTCCAGGCTCAGAGCTGTCAGCACAGAGCCCGATGCGGGGCTCGAACTCACGGACTGTGAGATCAGAGATCACGACCTGAGCCAAAGTCCGACACTTGGCTGACTGAGCCACCCAGGCGCCCCAGAAAGGGACATACTTACTACAATGATCTTTACAGTGTCCTAACTTTCACCGCCACATAGCAATGCCAAGGTGAACTTTTCCTGTCACTGTCCTCACCCACTCCCACCCCAAGGGAGAGTTTGCCGGAGGAGATTTCTATTTGCGGATTCCCCTGTGAGGAGTGTGAGGGGTGAGGGACGACCCGGCCATTGGACGTGCACACATGTGTTCATGCTTGGGGCCCCCCGCCGTATAATCGCAATTCCTAAGGTGGTTAACTCCCAGGACGTGCTGGTCTTGCGTCCTTAGGGTGTTAGCCTCAGATAAATCCGGATAGCCTCCACATCTAAGTTTATTCTTACCATCTGGAAAATAATTACGGGGATGATTGTCACTACGTGACACTTCTAAAGGAAATACCTGTCCTCTCGGTAAGATTAACCCCTTTCTTTGTTAACTTCTGCAAACATAGGCCTAATTGGGATAAAAGCTGTTATTAAAATGAAATTTAAGTCTTGAAATTTAAAAAAAAAAGACTTAATTTTGCTGGCAAAAGTAACAAACCCAGTGGTAGTAATAGGGTTCTGGAGAGTTTGAAATGCAGATTAGTCACTTAGGATGAAAAAGGCCATGTCTGGAATTGAGCTTCTTGTAATCAAAGTCTGGAGAGGCTAGGAACTGGGAGACTCTTCAAGAAAAGGAAGATAAATTTGTGACTATGCTTAAAATTAATTGATAGAAACCTAGAGAGGTGCAAGTTGAAAGCAAATGACAAGAATGCACGCACATTAGGTCTAGACCCTAAATATTAGACATTTGATCAGCTGTCTCTTTAAACCAACAGGGAATTAGTAAATGCCTGGCGAGAACAGGGTGTTAAACTCTGAGTCTCGGCCGGGGACTTGCCACAGAGCCCTCAGCAAGCGTATTTGTAGAAGAACCTCCCCTCCACACACACCAGCGCATCTTAAACATGTTACCCCTGTGCCACTGACTGGATTAGCGTTCTTTACCAGCCCTTTCGGGTGCCTCGCCAAAGATCCTAGCCATTCTCGATAATGTGAAGTCTATCCAATTATCTGGGAGTAGATGTTAGCAATGGTTTTAACATCACTACGTTCCACTGGCTTGATTAACTGATGATAATTAGTAAAATATTCACTGATTTCTTTAGCAGAAACGTAAATAGGAGGCAGTATGTAATACCAAGTTCAGAGGTGAGGATGCCTAACAGGATACATCAAGGAATTTCATTTGTGGGCTGTTTACTGCTTATGTAAATGTTGACTAAAGTATGTCTAAGACATCAAAAAATGGCTGCTGTGGCAGTTTTTCCCATTACGTCACTAGTATCTTGATTTCCCTTCATGTTGGCAGAAAACTCCAAATGATATTGCAAGAACTAAATGACTGATGTTTGCACAAAGGATGATAGGAACTTGACACAGCAGATCCTAACATTCGCTACTTCACGTGTAGATGCTTGAGCTGTAATTTATAGGAGTTTAGGTTCTATGGAGTCCAAGTAACGTATACATGTTTAATTCTGTTTCCAAAGACAGATTCAGCTAAGGCTTCCGGACCTTTGGTTTGGTTTGGTTTGGTTTTTCTTTCACACTTACCCAGTTCCTCGGTGAAGAAAAGATAGACTGAAGATCATAAACAGAATTATTGAAACAGTATGTCTAACAGGACTCCACTGTTAATAAATAAAAAGCTAAAAGCAACTTGGCTCTGGTTGGGATAATTTTGTAATAGCTCTCGTGAGATCTTTGGGGAACCGTGAGGATTTTATGTGGGGCTGAGAAGGCAGGGGCTGGGAAACGGGAGACGCATTGAGTAGGGACACGCAGCCTCATGGTTTCAGCTGCGAAACTTGCACCCTTCAGTGACACGCTTGCCCCCTCTCCCCTAACTCAATCCTGGCCCTGTCTCTGGCTTGGACTCGTGTCACTCGGCTGCGTACGTCATCCCACTTGCTGAATGGCAAGCATATCTCGGTACTATGCACCTGTGCCCTGCATCCGCCCCCACTGGCGTGGCCGAGATCTTCGTGCTATGTGATACCGCTCGTAAGAAGGTTGCTCGAGACATTCTCGAGTCTGTGGTGCACAGAATTGGCACGGAAGAGAAGGCTCTATGGTGAATTAGTCTCTGATGTGCTACACGTTGGACCCTAAGGTTTTCACATGTCTTGTTAAATTCCTCGCAACTGTATATGGTACTTATTTTACAGGTAAATTCGAAACCCCTATTATCTCCGTGGGAAATAGATTTTTGTAAAGGAGTTTTCAGTGGACTTAACGATTCATCAGTTCATTTATTCACCCTATTTTTGGGTATCTACTATCGAGATATTGACTAGCGTGAGGTAAGAATACAAAACTCGGTTGACGATGGCCCTGCTGTGCGAGGAATGAGCAGTGTTTCCAGACTGCAAAGCCAATGGGAATTCATCGGGAAGAAAAAGCAGTAGAGGGGCGTGTGCCAGGTGGGGACTGTCACCGGAGGAAAGACACCAAACAGTGTTGTCTGTCCTGGCATGGACACGATTGGTTTATTTCTTCAGTGGTGGACGTGAGGAAAGGGAGCCGTGTACTGAGTCAGAGGAAGTTGTGGTTGGTAAACTTGGAGAGAGATTCCCCCCCCCCCCCCGTTTTTTTCCGAACTAGGTTTTGGCTCTAGGTGTCATAAATCCCATTAAAGAGCAGCCTTTTCCAAAAAAGTAGCGCAAATAAAAGAAAACCAACACTTGTGCTCTCTCCGCTCTCACGGGCTCAACTACCCCAACACGTTTAGGACAAAGTAGTTTGGTCTACAGGTGAATATCACGAGCAACTCTGAAGGGGAAAGGATGTGGGAGTGTGGTCTGACCGGTTGTGTGTGTGTGTGTGTGTGTGTGTGCACTCGCTCCTGCAGATCGTTGCTAGTAATGACAGGAAGAAAGATAGGGCTGTGTGTTCCATGCAGAGTCCCGCTGGCCAGTAGCATTTTTCCTCTCCCTCCTCTCGAGAACCTCCAGACCCACGTTGCCAGGCACAGCTCTCAGTAATGGGAATGCGGTGGTGAACGAAACCTATGGAGCTGGCAGTCTAGCGGGGACTAGAAAGAAACACATTCTTATTTTGCATTTCACAGCGATTCCAGTTCAAAGGCGCCTGCACCAAGTGGAAGTGAAACCTCTTGTCAAATCTGTGACTAACAATCAAATGTATTCAAGTAGAATTCATTTTAGGAAAAAGAAAAAAAAATCTGGTCTTTTCTCCACCGTGTAAATAATACCAGCAGGAAGGGAGGGAAAGAGGGGAAGGAAGGGAGGGAAGAAGGGAGGGAGGGAGCCGAAGAGGGAGGGAGGGGTGGGAGGAAGTTGGAGCACAGAAAGCAAGGTGCCCAAGGAGAGTGGCTCCTGTAACAATTGCGTTAATCATTCTCTGAACGTTTGAAAACTCTCTTTGAAATCTTATTGTGGTTAAAACTTGAGAAAAGAAATATAAATTGTAATTTGAGCAGATCTTTTCTGTAGTGCATTGCAATTGTTCTGTTTTGTTTAAACTATTTTTGTATTGCACTTTCTTAAGATCCAATGTAATTTTTCTTGGAAGTGTATTAACACTGACGTTGAATTTTCCTTATGTGTTTCGGGTTTTCAAATGTCTGAGATATGTGATGTTCTCCCATATGTTGTCTTCCTATTTCCAAACTTGGGATTATGCATTGTTCTTAGTGGTTTCAGGGAGCAGACTTTCACACACATGTGACATCTGCGATGCTCTACATTCTTTTTTTTTTTTTTTTGGAAACTACTTTAGCTCCGAATCACTGTCACTGGTCTCATTTAGAACATGAGCAGTATAAACACTCTAGTCTCTGCATAAAATCTGGCCTCCCTCTACGAACAATGCATAACACGCTCCTTACCTTATTTATTGCAGGATGCAAATACGCTCTAAACCCTTATTGCACTACGGTGAAAGACTACAGCCTGGTTTTTCTAGCATTTATTTATTGTTGTAATTATGTATTCATTTATTCCTTCACCTTCTTCCGAAAGATTAGTTTTGTTGTAGATTTGTTTAAAGTACATGGGATTTTAAAATATGGCTATTTTAACCATATGAAGCCTTTTTAATTTGATGCCTTAACGTGGTGTTTCACAAAAAAAAACTTTGAAGGAGGAGCGGTTATTTGGAAGTAGAGGCACGTGATACTCCAACCAAGACGTGATGAAATTGCTTTCATAAGATACCCAGAAAAAGATACATGCATGTAAAGGATACAGTTAACAGAAGTCAGGCCTACACAAAATAGGTGGTCTTAATCCTCATTTTAAGACATCAACCTGTGCTCTGTGGCTAATTCAGTGCTAACCGTGCACAGCACGCTTACAGGGGGCTTATGAGTACCAACGCAGGAGGTTCTTTCTTCACACTTCCCAAAATAAACCAAATTGTACATACATTCAGTTATTACTCTTATCTTCTACCCAACACTGTTTATAGAATGATCTCTAAAGCTATCAAAAATCGCCCACTGTGGAACACACGAGTAGAAAGTGCGTGCTTGAACACACACACAACTTGGCTGAGTTTCCTCCCTACAAGAGGCATGAGGTTTTCTGGGAATAACTAACAGAAGACCCCTGTGGGACTTTCACCGGCCTTCTTTGTACCTTCACCCCCCCATTTCCTGGCTTCGTTCGTTTGAAGGGAGCCATTTCTGTTACCATGTTACATTTCCGTAACACTTTTATGTATTAGACGAGCTTTGAAATGAAAACAAAACTGAACGCAAAGCGCTAGGTCAGTAGATGCTGAACAGCTGTGAGGGCTTGGGCGCCTTTCTTCATTTTAAGTCTCCATTTGCCTCTCTGTAAACCTCCCCTAGCGTCGATGCATGGATTAAATAAAGTCACATGTGAAAGCATAATAGAGCGGTACTCATTTCCTCTTTGGGATCCCCTACAATTCTCTGGTCTTTTACATTGTGGTTTAGTATTTAAGGTGTCATCTATTTTAGTGCGGTAGTTAATAGATCAATTGAGTCGCACAAACGTGTACAGTCACAAGTCTACAATTGACGTGTTAATTCTACATTGTAACCATTGTCGTTTTTCTATTTTGTTTTTTTCCACTTATTTATTATGAGATGAACGTGAAAGCTGCAGTGTGCAAGACTATGTGTGAACACTGCATTTACCCCACTAGCTATGGTGGAAGAAGTAGAAACCAGTTGGAGGTATAGCATATCCAAATTACATATGTGATGATTACTCACCGTAACACCAGACGTAGCAAAGATGACATCAATAATACAACGATCAGATCTGTATAGAATCTTTTCTTTTCTGTGAAATCACGTGTCATTCACACATATTCTTTGAGTTGGAGTAAAATTCTATAATGTCTTATCCTCTGGTTTCTGCTCTGTAGCTTTGGATGCTTTCTCTCTTCCATGACTGTGTATTAAAGACCCAGGAACAAATTCCAGCACCTCCAGCCAGAAACTCCACCTTCCTCAGCAACGAGTGCAAAAAAGAAAGTACCTCTGGGTTGGATCCAAGAGCCCTGGGTGACCTATGATAGTAGGGTTCATACCACTGATAGACAGGAAATCTGGTTTTGTGATGGGTTTTGTGATATGGTTCACTCTATGCAAATTAGAAGACATTATTGTGTTGATCCCTGCGTATGATGGCTCCATTTCTCCCACGACTCAAATTGTAGGTATTGCGGATATGCAAATTAGGTTACACTAATATGTTGACACTGAAAAGTTGTGATGACCCTATGTGGAAGTCAGAGCTGTCCTCTATGATATTGACAAGTTTCTGTGGCCAGAGCTGGAGCTTAAGAGTGAGGAATTCTATATTCACATACTCTACAAAGCATATGTGATACAAGAAAATTTAATAACGGGCACCTGGGTAGCTCAGGTGGTTAAGCATCCAATTCTGGATTTCAGCTCAGGTCATGATCCCATCGTTGGTGAGATCGAGTCCTGTGTCAGGCTCTGCACTGACAGTGTGGAACCTGCTTGGGATTCTCTCCCTCCCTCTCTCTCTTCCCTCCCTTGCCCGTGTCCGTGCATGCTCTTTCGCTGTTTCTCTCAAAATAAGTAAACTTAAAAAAAAGAAATTAATAAAATGAGCAAGAGTGTACCCATCATCCATAATTACTACTGGTAGTTAAGCCTTCCATCTAACCTTCCATTATTACATCCTCCTGCTCCCAACAATGATCCCGGAGGGAACATCTATCCTGGGTTTGTGTTTACTATTTCCTTGCTTTTCTTTACAGTTCCACACATGTGTTTATCCTTCAACATCGTGTATATTTTTGCATGGTTTCAAACATTATCTAAACAATGACATACTGCGTATATTTTTGTGCAACTTGCTTTTCTTTACTCAAAATTTTGTTTATCTAATGCCTATGGATGTTTGTAGGTGGAGATCACTTATTTTCAACGTGGTAGTGTCCCATCGTATGAGGATACCATTATCTGAACTTGCCATGTTTTATCTTTTATCCTGCTGGATTTGGGAAATCTACCTAATTTGTGAAAATTCAGACATCGCATGTAAAAGTTGGATATGTTCTTTCAAGTCCCCATTGTAAGAATTTTGTTACTGTGTTTTGTTTGTACCTAGAACCTTTCCACACCCCCATTCCAACCTCCTTTCTGGTGTGTGTGTGTGTGTGTGTGTGTGTGTAAGACTGAAAGCATATCCTCAACATCAAGATGATGCCATGTTATTATTTTCTAGATTGTACAAATTGACCCTCCAGCCATTATGGAAAAGTTTCTGTCGCTCCAAATTTTCCCCTAGACATGACATTTTCAGACCTTTAAAATATTTTCCTCTCTGCTGGGGTAAGGGAGTCACATTTGTTTTTTTTCCTGGATGTGGAAAGACAAATATGGAAGTGAAGGGTGTCACATTTTTGTCTTTATCTGCAGGCTTTCGAATATTAAGGACATACAGCATATACACCCTGGTGTATATGTGCACACAGACACACACACACACACACACACACACACACACACACGTAGTACTCTTTACTATTTCCATTTGTGTTTCTTTTGTGAAATGAAATCCATATTCCTCTCTTTCATCCATATTTCTATTGAGTTTTCTTTTTTTCCTATTGATTCATTGAAGTTTACCATATATTAACAATACTAACCCTTTTTTGGTCGTATGTGTTGTCAATAACTTTTCAGTGTATATTTTCGTGGTCCTTGGACTGTCACTTTTGTGATGTATTTTGATACACAGGTGTTCCTCATTTGAATGTGAGCGAATACGTCGGTGTTTTTTCCTTTGTTATTTATACTGTCTCTGCATCGTGTTAAAGAATCTTCTCCAAGGCCTTAGCACAGAAAATGTTCTCTAGTTTATTTTGAGCATTTTACATTTTTTTGGTCACGATCTATTGCTGTGAAACAATACTCTCACAAACATAATGGCTTAAGACAACACATTTTCATCTCACGGTTTCTGTGGGTCAGGAATCCAGGCTTGCTTTGTTCTTTGAAATGATCTATGGTCAACAGGAGGACACCGCACCTCACTGATGGCAACGGGCCAACTTCTGGATGTCAGGAGGTGTTGTTGTTTTGTTTTTTACGCTCATTTAAAAATATTTATTCTTTTTATTATGTTAATTTAAGGCCACCAAGTTAACTGTAAAATCATATTCATCGTATGCACGCAGTTTAATATGTAGTTTCCCCCTTATGCCCTCTAAGTATTTTCTGAATTCCAGTGTGATCTCTTATATGACCATGAGTATTCCTGTATTTACAGGGCTTCTCTAAGTTATATCTTGCTGTCAGTTTTTATCTTCTGTATGTTGAAGTCAGAAACTAAAGCTGCGAGCTATATGGCGACAATTTTGTCAAACGTAAGGCCCTCTGGACGGATATGGGCTGGCGTCTGGGACATGTTTATAAATGCTCTGTGTGTTGTATAAACAGTGGATACTCTTCACTTGTTGGGCATGAGGTTCTGAAAATCTTCTGGCTCTAGCCTGATAATTCCCTTATTCAAAACATGTGTATCCATATGAGTTTTTCCTAATCTTTCAATTCCTGTAAAAGCTTTATGTCATTAAAGGGATATATGCATGTTATACACAGTACTTGTTGTAAATTTCATGAATAGAGCCTTCATGCAGTGACTGTCTTTTTTTGAGCATCGCTTTTGGCCAAACAATTTTTTTCGCTGATGGTAGATAACAAACTTCCTCTCGAAGTATTAGCCTATCATGTAATTTTTGCCTTGATGTTTTAAAACATTTTTGGCCTCATGTTTTCAAAATACATTGTAAACAGATTATAATTTATTTACTTGGAGAAAGAGAGAGAGAGAGCAGGGGAGGGGCAGAGAGAGAGAGAAACAGAGAGAGAATCCTAAGCAGGCTCCGTACTGTTAGCGCAGAGCTCGAAGTGGGGCTCAACCTCACCACCCGTGAGATCGTGACCTGAGCCGAAATCAGGAGTCCGAAGCTTAACTGACCGAGCCACCCAGGTGCCCCTTCATTTTCTTCCTTCTTAAATTATTTTGAAATTTTGTCCTTCCCTCCTTTTTACTGGTTTAGAAGCAATGCATCTTATTTGTATTATTTTGAGGCTTATAGAAAAATGAAAAGTAAATATTACTCTTTTCCATACCCATTTATTTACACTTATCCATATATTTGCTTTTTTTGTTCTTCCTTTCTATTCCATCAAGCTGTCAAAGGTTTCTTTGTGTCTATGTTTTTTTTTCTATTTAAGTTTACCTTAATATTTTCCCAATTCCTGTTGCCTAAAATTTGTCTCTTTTTGACACTAACTCTTGTAAGTTTGCTGTGCGTACAGTCCTAGGTGAACAGCACTTGGAACCCATGATACCAGTTATCTGTAGCTCCTTCTGTTTTCTTTGTGAAATAGGTATCGATATCGATGGCTGAGAATGCATGGGGGGAGCAAGTATTGGAGGTTGGAGGTGAGAGAAGAAGCCATAAAAACAGTCATCCAGGAGATGAGAGGGTAAAGAGAGTGGGGGGTGGGCAGGGTTGCAATATCATCGGTAGCCCTCAGGACCCCCGTGGTGGGAATAACTCTGCATTTAGACACATAGTTTCTCCCAGCCTTGTTCAGCTGCACCCCTGCAAGTGTGGAAAACACTGGAAAACTGGATTGACCAGAATGTGGCCATTGCACCATGAGGTGACACGATAAAAGAATGTGAGGTGAGGTTGTGTGCAGGGGATAGATTGTAGGGAGAGAGGCTTAGGGGGATATGAGACTTAGGACACAGCATTACAGAGGACCCTAGGTTCTGGTGGTGCCATAGACTTTTGTCAGGGACCCACTCACCGTAAGGTAAGAAGCAAGGCTTTAAGAGATAGATCTTTGGAACCGAGATTCTTGAGACATTGAAATTACTGCTTATAGTAAAATCTAAGGTATCTTCCAACCAGGTGGGAGGAGACAGAAGAAAGCATGGGCAACAGTTGAATCAAGTTCAAAAGAAGAAACACCCTCTGGGGTCAGCCGACTTAGAGTGGGGACAAGAGAGGAAAAGTCATGTGCTTTGGGGTTGTGGAGGATGTGGAGTCTTTGACTGGCTGAGGTCCTGAGAGCACACTGCAAAGATATCGGGAGCTGGAGAAAGGTTGGAAATAGTTCTGAACAATGTCGCTTGCTTTTAGAGTGTAGCCAAGTGGGGTGATTTCATTGTCTTGGTATTTGGGGAGTGAGCAGCAGTTCATAACGGGCACAATGAGGTTGACTGCATGAGATCGATTATACTGGTCTCAAGGCAGGTGATGGTAAGGAAGCTATGAGGTAGAAGGCTGGGGAGATTCTGGCTGTAGATAACAGAAAATGGGCTTACGACGCACATCTTTCTTTTTCTCCTGTGGAAGAAAGGTCCAGAGATAGAGAATCCAACAGCCGGTGAATGCAACCCTGAGGTAATAAGGGACACAGTTTCTTCCGCTTGTAGCATGCCAGTTCACCATCCTTAGTGGGTGCATGCCGTTTCCAAGATGGTGTCATGAGCCACGAAGGCCAGGAGAGCTCAGTTCAGAAATGAGGGGCCTTCCATCCAACGCCTTCCACTTTTACGAGCTATAATTTTGGTAGAAAATACAAATTTCTGGAATTACTTGAGAACACTTAGAAACATATCCGTGCAGAGGCTTTCACATCCCAGATTCTTTTTCCCTCGACCTGGAATGGTTCAAGGTATCTGTATGGAAAAAATGTTCTCCCTCCAGGGGATTCCATTGGGTAGCCCAGACTGAGACCTACTGTATTAAACAGACAATCACCATTATAATTAGAGTAGTTTCTTGTTTATTTTATATATTTTATTTTCTAAACTCAACACAAACACTGAATTAGTGAATACGGCCCCATTGCTCCTACGGGAAAATACAAGTTTATTTATGTTCCTTTGGTCTTCTGGTCCCTATGTTTTTACTAACCAATCAATCCATAACCTTGTGTTATGTGTATTTCTGTTTAAAGATACCTTATTTAATACACATCAATAATTCATTATCAACATTGAAGTCACAGTCAACAGCTCTATAACAAAGTTTATCTGAACTCACTTTCTCTGAGAGGTACAACGCAGACTTTTTGTGTCTCGAAACACGAGAGGGCACTTCTTTCACTATTCTTTAAAGGTCACCAACCCACAGCCCCACAGATGTGAAAACTATGTCATGAAACTGACCCTGAAGAGCACACTTGTTTACAGTAAGGGAGCTGAAACAACAAGGCAGAACCCCCCCACCTCCACCTTGTTGAACCTCCACTGGGCACACTTGAGGCAGGCAACTCGGATTTCTTGCCACTCTGTGCATATCTGCAAATGACATGTGTCATGATCATTAATTGGGGAGAGGGGTAACAAGTAAGTTTTAAGAGAGGCAAGTTTGCAAAGACCGAATCTGCAAATACCGAGGACCACCTGTATCTCAATTTCCTTTCTCCTTCTCATCTGACTCTGATCCTTCAGGGATCTCTGCCCGGAACGATAGCTTCCACGGCCACCCCACTTCTGTTCCACCTGATGCTGTCTGTCCCACCTTTACATATCAGAGTTTTTCTGCCTGGTTCTGTCTTTCTATAATTTATGAAAAATGTTTGTCTTTATCTCACCCTTGCCCTCATTTTCAGCACCTTTTAAGAGTGATATTCCTTATTTTTAACAAAGTATGATCACAGAGGAGGAGTTCTGATAAAACAGAATACATTTTTTAAAGAAAGTTTTGAGAACAGAAAAATTTAAAGAACACCCACGGATATATATCTGGAGACAGCTGCTATTAACATTTAACTGTGTCCTTATACTTTCAGGTTTATAAAGGTAAAGTGATCTGAACTGGGATCAAACTGGAATTCGATTTTCAATTAATAAAGGTAAAGGTAGACCCAGTAATGTTAATTCCAACTATTGACCTGGTTGCTAATTTCTTCGGTATATTTGAGGTTTATCATGCACAGTGGCTTTCTAAAGTCCTTATTGTCAGTGTGTCCAAGTCAGTAATTAGAGGATGAGGCAAGCTGTGCATAATAAGAACAAATCCCTAAAAGATGTTTCGGATGCATTAATGATAGAAGTGGCAACACAGACATTTCAGATGATGAAGAGGAAATAATCGTTCATATAACATTTGCCTGAAGAGCGCAGGACTAACTAATCCCAATGCTAAAGCCAGAAACCAGATAAGACTGAGAGATTTGCTTGAGTATTTTTATTTATTTATTTATTTATTTATTTATTTAAAAACTTATGTTTATTTATTTTTGAGAGACAGAACAGAGTGTGAGCAGGGGAGGGGCAGAGAGAGAGGGAAACAGAAGCCACAGCAGGCTCCAGGCTCTGAGCTGTCAGCACAGAGCCTGATGCAGGGCTGGAACCCACTGACCTTGAGATCGTGACCTGAGCCAAAGTCGGCCGCTCAACCGACTGAGCCACCCAGGTGCCCCAGCTTGAGTATTTTTAAATCTTCTCTGTGTCAAAAAACAAACCAATAACAGTAAGCACATTAAAGAGCACCAAATTAGAAAACATGATCTCACTATAGACAAGTAAAGATTTAAACTCTTTAATGTAGAAAAAGATCTGTTTATCTATAGGCAAAAAATGAGTATTGCAACTTTAAAAGACAGAGACGTTAACAGTGATAAGACGTGCATAAAGCCAATAAACGGTTGCACCAATTCCAAGTATAAATACTCTTACTTTCTTTTTATTTTACAATTCATGTCTTAAATTTCAAATTATTTCTCCTTAAGGCCTGTCCTCCCACTACTAAACAAATGGAGAAAAAAAGAAATACAGGGAAAAGAAGAATTACGGGAAAAATGTCTTGAAGTTTCTTGGGATTTAATCAAGAGGTTTCAAGACTTTCCAAACATAAAATGGAGAAAGGGCTGTAATCCCATGTGGCCAAACTTTCCCTGCTTCTCACTGGTATATAGTGTCATTATAGATGATTGGTCCTGCCTAACTCAACAAATGATATTTGTTGACAGGGGCTAGAATCACATGCTTATACTGTTTCTGTGCAACTCACATTGCTGGCCCAAGCACAAAAGGACAGTGTATTTTAGCCTTCCTCTCTACCACTCTCTCTCTCTCTCTTTTCTTAATTTTATTCTTACAAACACAACCTACTGGACCATTGTTATTGGGTCTAGAAAAAATGCCCTTGTTTAGTAAAATTTTAGGAAAAACCCCCCCACCCTCCCCCCCCCACCCCCGGGGGGGGGGGGGGGGGTGGAATTCTAGGCACTTCTGTTGAGCCTGAATTATCAGCCTAAATCCTCTCTCAAGGTAATCTTATTTCAGGTATTTTCTTGTCCTTTTCTGCACACATTGTAGTTTTGGGGGTCATGCTGAACCAAATTTCAAGGTCTCTTGTACTTTCAGGTTTGGAAAAAGAAGGATTGGTGTAGGGCACTTTGGTTTCACAAATATCCTGGGTCGTTCAATAAAAAAATCAGCAGCCATCAGAGTGACTAGCTTGGTGTCCCATATCATAGGTGAGGGACGTACTTCTCTCAGCCCACAGAAATTTCCTTGTCTCACGCCAAGAGGCACTAATTTATGTTAACACTATGGTTAGGTTAAAACTGTATTTCTTTTGTTTATTTCTTGATTTACACCGTATGAGAATGGACTGCATCTTCTGCCTGAATAAAGAACTTGGAAAGTCAAAAAATACAACTGACCAAGAAATATTAACATCATCAATACCATTATTAATCATATAAAATCAAATTAAGAAGAATCAATATCATATGTTAGTTTATAAACCAACAAAAGGAAGACCAATTTGGGTGGATATAGCCAAAAGTAAATTATTGGCTGCTGGTTTGGTAATATAAGCATATATTCTTTCATGAAAGCAATTTGGCTGCTCACCAGATATTTTAAAGATCCTTGCTTCTGCCACCACACCGTGCCTTTTGGCCCAGAATTCCTATTTCAGGCCTCTTATTCCATCAGAAAAAAAAATATAAAAGATGCATATATAAGGATATCTATTTCAAGCATTCCTTTATCATATCAAGACATGGAAACTTCCTAAAGGGGCCTGAAAAATCGATGGAGATGTATAGTAGCTTATTAGAAAAGTCTTTGTGGTCATTGTCTATTAATTAATTGCAAAACAACTTAAAGCAATCTTATTTTAATATTGGATACATTTATACCTACCTATTAGGCTAAACTGTTAAGTGGTCATTTTAATAAGTCAACAGAGATCAAGGATCAGTAATTTCAAATTATTCAATTTGATGTTTATATCCATCTGTGCATGAATTATCTACTTATATAGTCATATTTTATATGCATGCACTTTTGGATTATTATGGGTCAAATGTTAGCAGCGGTTTTGAAATTTCAGACGAGTTTTTTTTTTTTCTAATGCTTATCTGTGCTATTATTAGAATAATTGTTCTAAAAATCTCAAAATAAACTGGTTGAGAACTTAGGAAAAACACAGCAAGACATTCTGAACAAAAAAAGTATTCTTAGAGGATTAAATGCAAAATTTAGAAACTGAGTTAAAATGGCCATCAAGCCACTGAATAACTGATCTCAAAAATTATGCAAACAACTTGAAATCAGATGTTCTTTCCCCCAAACAATAAATTATCTATTTTAAAAATAGATGACTTTATTTTTTAATAACAAAGTCTTTTACATACTGCTGCTGTTCACAGAATTTTCATGAATAATAAATGGCAATAGATATTAAAGGCCTAAAAAATGTGAGTAGCCTTTCATTCAACACTTCCAGCTCAAATTCAGTTCCAAATAGATCTTCTTTATTAATTTAAAACATACATTTTGGAGGACATAATTTAAAGCTTAATTAGACTTATTTTGTGAAGTTCCCTTTTTATAATTTACAGAAATAGGAACACATGTAATTTCTTCTTTCCTTCTTTTAATTTTTTTTTCTTTCCTTTTTCTTCCTCTCATCCTTAATGACCATTTATGAAATGACAACTATGGCTAGATAGAGTGAAAGAGTCCTAAGGACACAATCCAGATTACTCCAAGAAATAGTTATAAAAGTAAAATGGCCAGAGAACAACCCAACCCAATTTCTAGCCCATCTAATGGTCAGTAGTAAGCAGAGTAAGCAGTCAGCACAACCTTTGAAAATGAACTCAGTGGCTGTTGTTGTTTCAAGGTTTTGTGAATAAAAAAGAAAGGAATAGACCGAAAACATAGTGGTCAACCATTGTCACTCCTGATTTGGTATTTCATATTCTGTTCTTAGGGTAGGATTCTCCTAGTGTCTTTGCTTTCCTTTCATACTGGATGCTGATGACAATGACTGGGATGGTGGTGAAATCTCTTCAGATACACTTTTTAATTCTGGGTGTTTTATGTCACTCTTGCTTTCAAGAGGGAGGGGGTACACTGCAGCAGACCCATACATGGCTAAGAATAGAAGAAATTTTATCCTTTCCTCATTACTTATTATTTAATCATGGGATAGTTATGTGTGCATTTAATTTTCAAATATTTAGAAGTTTCTGTTATTTCTTTTATAGTTTTATTTCATTGTAGGTAGATAAGATGTCTGGTATCATTTCAAGTTTAAAATGTGGTCTGTCTTGATAAATGCACTTTGTGCACTTGGGAAGAATGAATGTGTTGATACTGTTGGGTGAAATAGTTTGTTATTGTCAATGAGGTCAAGTCTGCTCATGTAACATATTGTTACTATTTCCTTCAGTCAGGAGGACTGTCTTGAAACTTCTTGTAATACGGGTCTGCTGACGAAGCATCTCTTTCTTTTTCTCTCTCATTGGAAAATATTGTCTATTGTCATCTTCCTTTAATTTTTGAAAGATATTTTGAAATGTTATTATACCATCTCCGGTTTCTATTGAATCTGATGAAACGTCATCAGTCATTCATATCATTGCCCCCATGTACTTTTAAAGTGCTCTTTTTAAATCTCTACTTTAAATCTCTTTTTAAATCTCTACTTTAAATTTTCTTTGAGCTTGATTGTGACCAGTTTGTTATGTTTTGCCTGCGGGTTATTTTCGTTGTATTTATTCTGACATTGATGAACTTCTTAAATCTGTAAATGTATGTCTTTCATCAAAGTGAGAAAAAATTTTGTCCACTGATACTTCAGATATATTCTACTTCCTATTTCTCTTATTAGATTTATAGGGGTGCTTAACCCTTTGTTTTATAAAGTTAAGTTGGTGAAACTGAAACCACAAATTCTGCTTCCTCGTCAACAGAAGCTGAAATATGCCTCTGGTTCTTTTAGCCTTTTTGCCTCTGCCTGAAGTCTGTTAAGTGATGTCTTAGTTTCTGGATCTGCCAGAAATTTGGCCGAAGTTTATAGGCAGAATTTGGTCCTGCTCTCCTGTGGTTTCCTTTTTATGTACTTCTCTTTCTCTCTGTCTCTGTCTCTTTCTCTCTAATTTTCTAAATTCAGTTTTAGGTGTGTCATCTGTTCTCTCATTCATCAAAAGAGTAAGAATGCAGTTTTCTGGCTAAGTTTTAGACACTGAATGTAAGGCTAACTATCTTAGAGCTACACAGGGGTTTCCAAAGATAAAATAATATTTACTTATTTTTTTTAACATTTATTTATTATTGAGAGACAGAGCATGAGCATGAGCCATGGGAGGGTCTGAGAGATGGGGAGACACAGAATCTGAAGCAGGCTCCAGGCTCTGAGCTGTCAGCACAGAGCCCGATGCGGGGCTTGAACTCACAAACGGAGAGATAATGATCTGAGCTGAAGTGAGACGCTTAACTGACTGAGCCACCCAGGGGCCCCTATTTACTTTCTTTAGTTGGTTGGTGAATACATGTTGGTTCACTTTTTCATTTATATTATTTTGTGTATATTTATTCATTAGTGTATCTTAAGTCTACTTTATCAGGTTGGGAGTTTTTAATTTACTAAACAACAGTGAATAACAGACAGTGTTCAACCAGAAGGAAATAATGTTAGAGTTGGAAAGAATCTTTGCGATCACCTAGTTATACAAAAAATAATACCTCAGTTACATAGGTGATCTTTCCAAATGGTACATTGCCATTTGTAAAATTGTATGTTAAAAGATCCTGAAAATTACCCAAATATTTATTATTAAACAAAATACGTGAATATCCTAAAAAGTCTAACATGTATTTTATATTATTGTAGGCAACAAATGTGTGTTTTAAAGACAAACTATCTCTTGAACATGAGTTTATTACAGCAAAATGATAGGTATTCTTTGTGAACTGGAAGGTTACAAATCTACAATTTATAATTAAACTTGGACAAAAGAGTTGGTCGCCTGTCAAAATATATTTTTATTCTCACTAACAACAAACTAGACTTAAAATGTTTTCTCATTTTTCAAGTGTCTTGAAACTATGGGGTTATCTTGCTAACAGTGCCCTCTAGATATTATTCATTAGTTTTCCATTTGAGAGCACTCCTGTGATTCTTCAATAACCTTGAAATAAAACTCGCCTATCCCAGGATATACTCCTTACTAGTCTCTTCCAGAGAAAACTTGCAATAAAAGAAAAAAAAATCTTCCAAAAAATTTGGAAGATTTTGATATCCTAATGGTACATACAGTTCTTACGAATCACTCAGCATGGAGACTCATACCTATTCAAACACACTTACACAAGCATCCTTGAGAGCTATTCTCTCTCTTTCAGTAAAGGACTGGGACCTTTAACACAAAAAGAGCATAAATCCCAGGTCTTATTGTTAATTTTGCCACTTTTGTTCCTAGTTCTTGATTATCTTTCATAAAAATGAAAGAGTAACTTCCAAATTGAATAATTTAGAGGATTCATGATGTATGCATCCTCTCCTGAGCACAGGTCATTACTGGCCAAATATTATTTTACCCACATTTTTGAGTAAAGGTGGACCTAGGTTACTTGCTTATTGTGATTCTGATATCTCTTACAGTCACTGAAATATTATTTTATAAGGTGTTGCTGTAGGTAACTTACCTTCAAATATTAACATAAGGCTGTTAAAACCAGACTGAACTGCAGCTGGCAGTAAAAGTATTCAGGGCTATTTTTTTTTAATATTTATTTATTTATTTTGAGAGAGAAACAGTGAGCCAGGGAGTGTGTGTGTATGTGTATGTGTGTGTGTGTGCGTGCGCGCACACACACACACACACACACACACACACGCGCAAGTGGGGGAGGGGCAGAGAGAGAGGGAGAGAGAGAGAATCCCAAGCAATCTCCATGCCGTCAGCACAGAGCCCAACACGTGGCTCAATCTCATGAACCATGAGATCATGACTTGAGCCAAAACTAAGAGCGAACGCTTAACTGCCTGAGCCATCCAGGAGCTCCATATATATTTTTTTTAATGGAATAAAATTGGTTTTGTACTCAAAGTTTGTAAGAGACCATGGTAACCTTTGGTGGTGGCTGCAAGGTTCTGGCTCTAGCCTCAGCCTTGGCTTTGCCGACACAGCTTCTCCCTCAGGGAATTCAGTTTCTTTTTACACTGGGCAGCTTCAGCCTGCAAGACAGCAGGCTTCTCAGAACAAGAAGAGCATCACCCAGATTTGTGTCCAGAATATCAGCCCTCAAGACACATGGTGACATAGGTCATTCTTGATTTCAGTCCCTGTCACAAGAAGAACAACTAGCAGTGACTCATAGACAAGATACCATTACGAAAATATCAGAGCCTGGAGAGGAAGCTGAAGGCCTCTCTGGACTCCAGAGACTGAGAAGAAAAGCATTAGAAGTAAAAGAGGAGGGGCTCCTGGGGGGCTCAGTCAGTTGAGCGTCCAACTTCAGATCAGGTCATGATCTCACAGTTTGTGAGTTCGAACCCCGCATCTGGCTCTGTGCTAACAGTTCAGAGCCTGGAGCCTGATTCAGATTGTGTTTCTCCCTCTCTCTATTCCCCCCTGCTTGCTTTATCTCTCTCTCCCTCTCTCTGCCACTCTCTCTTTTTCTCTCAAAAATAAATAAATATTTGAAGATTTTCTTTTATTATTTTTTAATTTTTTTAATGTTTATTTATTTCTGAGCCAGAGAGAGACAGAGCATGAATGGGGGAGGGGCAGAAAGAGAGGGAGACATAGAATCAGAAGCAGGCTCCAGGGTCTGAGCTGTCAGCACAGAACTCAACGCAGGGCTTGAACTCACAGACTGTGAGATCATGACCTGAGCCGAAGTTGGTTGCTCAAGTGACTGAGCTACCCAGGTGCCTCCAAAATTTTCTTTTAAAAAGAGAAGTGTAACAAGAGAGACTATAGTCTGGCCACATCGCCATCCCCAAGGCTGGCACACTGCCACACTTAGGGGGGCTCTTTAGGCCTGTGGGCTGTCCAGTGGGAAAAGACAACCCAAGATACATATCCAGCTTCCCCATCATTGTGGGATGCTTCCCGGGAGGCTCAGTTGGATATCACCACATAGAGACCACAGAAGAATCTCTGGAGCTCACTAAGTGGGAATCAGTGAGAGACAGAGAAAAAGAGTGGGACTTAAACCAGTATTCAAATCATGGTGGGCCACATTTCTCCTGGGTAGTACCAGCCAATGTCTCTGCCATCTGTTGATTTCAATAGAAATCTGTAAGAGAAGGAAAGCTGGGAAATTCACAAATATATGGAAGTTAACACAATTCTAAAATACCAATTGATCAAAGAAGAGAAAAAAGGAAATAAAATATATCTTGAGACAAATGAAATGGAATACAACATACAAAAACAGGAGATGCATCCAAAGCAGTTGTAAGGGGAAAAGTTAGAGCTATAAATGACTACATTAAGAAAAAAAGAAAGATCTCAAGTCAACAGCCTAACATTACATCTCGAGGAACTAGAAAATGAAGAACAAATTATGGCCCGATTTAGTAGAAGGAAGCAAATAATAAAGATTTGTATAGAAATAAGTGAGAGAATAGGAAGCAATAGAAAAGGTTAACAATGCTAAGATACTAGTATACTAACACTAATGCTTTCTTTGAAAGATAAACAAAATTGACAAACCTTTAGCTTA